GAAATGAATATCCATATAGAGTACCGGGTTCTCCGGGACGAGGAACCCACATGGGATTCCGGATTCCTGGGAACCCTGGAACTCCATGGGTTCCGGGTTCCTGCGAACACGAGAACTCAAAACTCATAGGGTTTCCGGATGCCCAGGAACCCGGAACCCTATGTGAATTCCCGTTCCCAGGAACCCGGAAACCCATACCAACTTTCTGCAAAAAGGCCTAAAAAGGCTATGTGAATATTCCTTTGTGTTTAGAAATGCATAAAAATGGATCGTGAAGTGGGTTCAGGGTTCCCGGGAACGGAACCCTAGGGAACGAGAAACCCTGACACCCCTGGTCTGGCTCCAGTTAGACACATGTTTGAACGTTTTGTCAAACAGCTGCCTCGACATTTTATACCTAGTGAAAATTTAACGATTGATGAACAACTAGTTCCTCTTCGTGGTCGATGTCGTTTTGTACAATACATACCCAAGAAATCTGTCAAGTATGGATTGAAGTTTTGGGTTTTATCTGATGCGGATAGTCGTTATGCGTTATCCATTGATCTACATACCGGAAAAAAGGACAACATTATCCAGAAAGATCTTCGTACTAATGTTGTTCTTCACTTAGTTGATCAATTACCAAATAACGTCAAGCAAGGACGTAGTATAACATTTGATCGTTACTTCACGGATTTAAAGTTATCCGAAGCTCTATTGGATCGAAAAATGACTTCAGTCGGAATCGTTGAACACAAACGTTCTTTTTTACCCAATGAACTTAAACTACAGTATCCACCATAAGTGGGTACGAATGAAAAAACAAGGAAGACAAAGGAGTTATTTTATCAAATTTTATTTACAAAATCTACATTATATGTACATCATCCTAATAATTAATATAATCGCCTTTTCGTTCAATTAACAATTGTACTCTTCTTTCCATGGAATCGGCTAATTTTTCAGCAAATTCGACAGATAAATTTTTCCATTCTTTTTTTATTCTTCCAAAGAAATTGTTGATTGATGTAGGTGGTTGTTTGTTTATTTTGAGCTTCATTAAAGCCCAAACATTTTCGATTGGGTTATAGTCTGGAGATTGCGATGGCCAAGGTAATGATTGTATGCCATTATTGATCTTGAACGTTTTGCTCATTTTTGAGGTGTGCTTGGGATCATTATCCTCTAAAAGTTTCCAATTATAGTTATTATCACCAAACCATTTTTTTACTGATGGCAGGAGTCCGTTCTTGTAAATTTTGCACATAAAGTTTGAATTTAATGATTGTTTAAATAATATCAGTTTTCCAAATCCATGTTTGCTAAAACAGCCCCACACGTGAATTTTGACAGGATGCTTCACTGTTAAGACATAATATTTTTCACCACGCTTTTTCCATACTCGTCTTATTACTTGTTTCATATGAAATGAACTCTCATCTGTAAATACAATTTGATTCCAATCAACATCTTGGTGTTGTGTAGCCCATTCAAGTCTCTTCTTAATATGATCATTTGTTAGCAATGATTTAGAAGTTGGCTTCATTGATTGTACACCAGCCTCTTTAAATCTTCTTCTTAATGTCGTTTCACTAATTTTTATACCTTTCTTTGATAATCTAAATGCAATTTGACCTACAGATTCGGTTGGATGTTGATCAACCATCGATTGAATTATAACATCTTGTTTTTCCGTTGTAGACCGTTTACGACCAGATTTTTGTACAACTTCTACATCACCAGTTGTTTCATACTTTTCAAGCCAATTTCGCACAGTCTCCTCACTAATTCGTAAATATCGTGAAATATCAGAGTTTGACATGTGTGGACCATACTCGTGGCTTGATAAAAAGATGATTTCCCATCTTTTCTTTAAAGAAATGTTCATTTTTTGATTAACTTATAAATCGACAACATAATGAATATAAATGTTCCTATTTATATCAGATGATGTACACGACTAGTCCGTTTAAACAAAGCACAAAGATAAACTAAAGGTCATTGTTAAACAAGAAAAATAGTTCGTAGCCACTTATGGCGAATACTGTATGTCGGAAAGAATTATTTGCATCATGGTTTTATTTTTCCGGACCTCATATGCTTTTATCCTATCAGGCAAAAGAAAAGAAAAAACCTGTTGTTTTACGATCATCAGCACATGAATTTGCCAAAGTTTTCGATGATGAGAAGAGATTGCCATGCGCAATTCACGACTACAACCAGACAAAAGCTGGCGTTGATGCTATTGATCAATGTATCGAGAATTACACAGTTCATCGTATCAGTCGACGATGGCCAATGGTTGTGTTTTATAATATGATTGATATTGCTGCAATCAATGCCATGACAATTTGGTTATGTCAAAATTCTTCGTGGAATGTAAAAAGAACAAGTACCCGACGTATTTTCTTAACACAACTAAGTAAAGCATTGACAAATTTACAACTTCAACGTCGAAGCAAAGAAGTTCGTCTCATGCCCAAGGCGAAGCTAGTTTTACAGTCTATTGGCTACCGCCTTCATTCAGACAGTATTAAAAATTTAAGTGTTGACAGTCATCTGAATGAAACAAAAAGAAGATGCCATTTATGTCCAGCACAACTCGGACGCAAAGTTCGACAAACCTGCCACTATTGTCGAAAGAATGTTTGTCTTTCTCATTCTAGAAGCGTCACCATAGTGACTTGTCAAACATGTGAAGAAAATGCTAGCAAAGACTTTGCATTTCTTGAATGAATATGAAGCTGTTCAAATAATAACACTATCGACACAAGAAACTAGTATCATAGTTTTTTTTTTAATTATCATAAGAAGAAAAGATACAAATAAAGATGCATAAAAAGCAACAATTCTCACTTTCTTATATATATCCTATTGCTCATGTCAATACATGAACGTACCTTTATCCATTCTAGTAATTAAACTAGTAGAATCTATAGTTTTTATTAACTACGCCAAATCACGTTATGATGTCATTACCGGCAATTTTTCGATGCAGTAGAGTTTTCTATTACCATCATGGACACCGATATGTTCATTTTCATACAAAGAGCAATTCGAGAGCAAAAGCACATGTAAATGAAACAATATTATTAACTTTTGGTGATTTTCTATAGGTGGATCCGAGCGGACCCTAGGACAGCTACGAAGTTCCAAAATCAGGACAGCCACGAAGGGTTAATACTAATGAACATTTTTCGTAGAATATAACAGATGAAAACATGTCACTGAAGTCTAATAAATTCGTACTACTGTTATTATTACAATTAGCATTGTTATAAAATATACATAAACAGTATGTAGTAGTTACAAAAATAAATGACGTACTATTAAATTCATTATTTACAATATCAACAGTATCATCATGTTTTATATTGCTATTTCGTACGAATTGCACTAGCAGCTTTTTCTTAGATAATTGCCATTAAAGACTAACTATTTTCATTTTTACTAAGCAGTATTTGTACCCTTATAAGAAAAACAAAATTTTCTATTATTTTGAAAACTTGTAAAAAAAAAGAAAAACAATTAAATTTAACATTATTTATTTTAAATAATTCTATCTTACATAGTAAGAAAAAAAACATATTATTCAACAATATTTAATTGTACATAATCAAGTAAAATATTACGATAAAAATATTCATTTTTAATTTGAAATCCAAAATAAATATCCGATAATTCGAATACTTTTATTTTTCCCATTGTTTCATTGAACCAATTTTGATTACCATATAGTAAATAGTTTGATTCAAACCAATTGAAATTCATCTTTTTTTGGTTGCATTCACAATCAAGACCATGATCAGCTAATGCATAAAAATAGCATTGGACACTTGTTTTTGATTGTGGAACTCGACTACAATGTTCATTGTAATATGTTAAATATTCTTCATTCTTTTCCAGTTTAATACGACATATAATTTCATATATTCCAGGCCATATTGATTTGAATTGGCCTTTAATACCACCTAGAAATCGAGAACGATCTGTATATAACCGAACACATCGACCTGTTGAACTTGTTAAATCATCTTCTTGTTTGGGATATAATCTATTAGTACAATTTAAATGATTGTGTGAACAATGTAAATATATTCCAAACAAATTTACAGCTAGTAAACGTTTAAGCTCAATTAAATAAAAATAAACTAACTTATAAAATGATATTTGTAAAATATTTTCTTCAGTTAAAGAATTATTTTTTTTTAAATAATAATCAAATACTTCTTCTATTGTAAGTGACATTCGTAGATCATTTGTATGTGGATTTTTTTTTTGTTTCATTAGACTTTTATAAGCTATATAACTATCAATACTATCATTACAATTTAGCATATTGAATACCCATGTAATACATAAAAAAAATGCTTTATTTTTTTCAAAATATTTTTCAAATTTTTCTTTGTCTTTGTTCGTACGATATAAAACATCATCTGAATTCTTTTCATTATGAAATATTTCATGAACATAACGTTTATATAACTTAAAACCAAAATGATTTTTAATTAATATCATCCAAAAATAATTATCATTTTCAATTAATATATATAATTGTTTGCATGTTTTTGATAAGTTTATAATATCAATAAATGATAAATATTTACATAAATGATATAAAATATTATGAGAAAGATAATCTATAAACATTATCTAAAAAGAAAAATATGATAAATGCTGTTGAAAAATCTCTTTTAGAGGTATTTTTAGATATAGAAAAAATGAAGATGATGAACGACTATCTGCACCAAAGGAAAAATAAAAAAGAAGTTGAAAGACAAAAAGATGACTATTATCCATTTAAAAAAAAAAGACACTTGGGCAGAATTTTTATAGCTCTTGATAGAACGATGATAGATACCTGTAATTTTCACGTTTAATAGAACTAGTCAGGGCACGTTTTACTATGAAACAACCAAGTCTTTAAGTAAAGTTTA